AGAGAGAGAGCGGGCATCTGGGAGGAGTGTGGGGGGGGGAACCACGACGGGGTGTCTTCTTTTTGAGTCTGCCTTAACTTGGAGGGGTTTTCGTGTAAAGAAAATGGGGAGAGGAATGCAGAAACGCACTCGGCTCCCTTCACGGTGCCTTAGCGAGGGACCTGAGGCGCTTCCTCACGTTCGTTTCCCCCTCTTCTTCCGAGTCGAGGAGGGGACTGTTTTAGGATGCCGGTGGGGGGTGGGAGCGGGCGGGAGGGGTGCCTGTAGAGGTGTCCTCGGTGGCTGGGAAGGATAGCGGTGGTTGCGGGAGAGAGGAGAAGGGGACAGGAGGCAGGACATTCGCCGCCTTACAGCATAGATTTCATCGCTCTTGCTTCCAGCTGAATCCTTCCTAAATTGTTACTCTACATCTCTCTCTCTCTCTCTCTCTTAAACAAATTCCTGAACGAATTGCTGTGTCAAGGCTGTGTTGTCTTTTTGGAGTGAGGGGGTGAGTAGGGCATGGCGGTGGTATCTGTTGGATTGGTGGTACGATTTTATTACATATCTGTTTTTAGAAGACTTTTAAAAGAATGTTGGTTGCTGGCATCGCTGATAGTTCTTTAAATGCTTGTTTGAATTTGTTTTAAAGAAAGGAGGGAAGGATAGACTCTTTCTCCCCTTGAATCTGAGAAGATACTGATGTATCCGTTGTAAGCGTTAAAATTGATTTCTCGACAGTGTAATTGTCATGTTTAGAAGACGGTAAACATTTTCTTCGGTATGCTTTCGCAATTTCTGCCTGATATGCCCCGATGCTACCACTTTATGATCTCTTCCACAGTTAGATTTTTAAAACTTTCCCTTTTTACAGTTTTGGCAGGCTTTTTCTTGGCATATGTTTAGATTTCTAATTCTACAAAAGAATTTGTTGTTCCTTTATGAATAATTGTTTAGGTATTTTCCACTTGCTACTGATAATGAGTTCACATCTTGGCTTTGACAATAAGATTCTGAAGTTGACAATTTTCAGCATGTTACCTATTTTATGCAGAAAGAATTCATAAGCTATGCAGATATTAGTAGATTACTTCCAGATTGTTATCCTGTTTAGAATGGTTGTTTGCGTGAGAAATATTATTTGAAAACATTTGAATTACTGTATTGTGATAAATTTATTAATGGTCAAGAATGGTCCTATAAATTCTTTTACCAATTCTTAAGTGCAGTTTCACTTCTAAATGTTAACACTAGATGGCTTTCTTGTATCATGCACTTGAGCTATCTGGAATTTACCAGGTTGATTTCTACATTTCATTACTGTATTTTGAAATGCTGCTACCTTAATTTGTTAAATATTAAATGGAGCTAAGCTATTTCCTGCTTGGTAATTTTGTCTTAATATTCTGTTTACAAAAGTATCATATTCATGAAAAAAGTTTTAACTTTTTTTTAAAAAAAGATAATTTTAAATTGGATCAATATATTGAAAAGCCTGTATCTACACTAGGATGAGTGCACTAGGGTAGTGACACATACTGTTTGAACTAATTTAACTGCTTAATGTAAAAAAAAGGTTGGTTGCAAGTTATTTGTTGCATTTTTGCTTTTGCTGTTTGAGATGGTGATTTTACTAGTACAGAAAGTGAGGATAGGACAGTTGTTTAGGAAATGTGTGTAGTGAGGAGAGAAGCAGAAGTTTTTTTAAATTATTTTCTTATTCTTGGACTAGCTGAATGTGCCAGTGAGGTAGGAACACCTAATCTCCATTTATGTGAGCACCATCTGAATTAGACTTCATCAAGATATGTTGTGGTTGTAATTTTACTTTTACTAAGCTTGTGGTCTGGAAAATGAATAATATTGCTCTCTGAACATTAGTACCCCAGAAGTGATATTACAGTAAGCAGGTTTAAAATGTTTAGCAATTACATTTGGACTTAGATCTAAACATAGCTTAGTGTGTTTTACCAGTGCTACAGGATTCTTTGGAATGCAGTATATTATCTGTACTCCTTTGTGAACTGTTGCTGTTGGAAGACATAGGATGAATCCCAGCTTAGGTTTGTTTTATTGTCTGTGCAGATAAATCATAGATTTAAATTTAAACATTTAAATCTCATTTCAGCTTCAACATAGCTGTCTTGTGCATCTATATATACAGTAAGAACAACATCTTAATTAATTGACTTCTGTTCACTCTCTTGTGTTGACTCATGTTGCTTTGAACATGAAAAGGAAGCTGGAATGAGATTACTGTATGTATGGTAACTATTTTGGTATCGTTTTACAGGTACTCTAAGGTAGAGATGATCTTTCTCATGAGAAAATACTAAACACTTTGTCATCCATTCCTTCTGATACAGTGGTGCCTCGACTTACAAATTAATCCGTATTGGAACGGTGGCTGCACCTCGAAATTTTTGTAAGTCGAATCACCATTTCCCATAGGAATATACTGAAAACCATTTAATCTGTTCTGGCTGTTTTTCATTCTTATATAGAGGCAGCGTTCTTAAGTCGAAACATTAATTCCCATAGGAAGTAATGCAAAGCTGGTTAATCTGTATTCTACCACTAGGGGGCTATTGTTCTTGGGAACGGTGGCTGCACCTCGAAATTTTTGTAAGTCGAATCACCATTTCCCATAGGAATATACTGAAAACCATTTAATCTGTTCTGGCTGTTTTTCATTCTTATATAGAGGCAGCGTTCTTAAGTCGAAACATTAATTCCCATAGGAACTAATGCAAAGCCGGTTAATCTGTATTCTACCACTAGGGGGTTATTGTTCTTGTTTTGACCTAAGATGAACTTAGGTAAAAAAAAGGGCAAGAAAGGAGGGAGGGAACACATTCTAAAGTTAAACAGAACGTCTTTTAACCCAAACACCTTTTAAACAAAACCAAGTATCTTTTAAACAAAACCAAGGACCTTTTAGGTTAAAAAACGGGCAGGAAAGGAGGGAGGGAACACCTAAACAGAACACCTTCTAACCCAAGTTCCTTTTAAACAGAACCAAGCACCTTTGAGTCTACAGTGAATTCCATTTTAAAGCCTGGCTGCATCAACAAGCACCACAGCCCCTCACACAATATTTTCTGATTTTAAAAGAGACAGACCTTGGAACCACATTTTAAAACAAAAGAGAGGTCACAGTACACAAACCTTAAAAGCCACAGAATCCAGCAAGCATTATTCCAGCACAGAACTCCTCATCACAAAAAGAGCATAGAGGGAGAGAGAGAGAGAGAAGACAAGGGGGGGTGGGGGGGAGAGCCTTGAGTCTACAGTAGACTCCATTTTAAAACTCCATTTTAAAGCCTGCCTGTCTACATCAACAAGCACCACAGCCCCTCACGGAATATTTTCTAATTTTAAAAGAGACAGACCTTGGAACCACATTTTAAAACAAAAGAGAGGTCACAGTACACAAACCCTAGGAGCCACAGAATGCAAAAATAAATAAATAAATTTTACATTTTAAATTTGCAGTCTGATTTTCACATTTAATTTTAATTTAATATTACAGTCTACTTTTCACATTTTTAATCCACACTGCAAGACCCATCAGAGCTCAGAAACATAACCCCCACCTAGCCCTACCTCCCCACCAAGCTGCAAAAAAACTCTGTATAGTACAGTGAATACTGTACAGTGTATGTACTCAGCCAGAACAGGCAGTCTGTCTGTTTTTTTTTTAATTCAAAATTTTAAAAAAGCCAAAAAAATACAGTCTGTACAGTATAGTACCAGGCAGTGCTGTACACTACCAGGCAATACCAGGCAGTCTGAAGACTCTCTCCTTATCCACTCTCTATCCACTGAGATGAGCGAGGTAGCAGACAAGCAGCCTCTTCGCTGGCCAATGGTTAACAGAGAATTCAAATTTCTCACTTTCCCCGCCTCCCCCATATTTTTTTCTTTTGTAACTCGAAGCTCCGGCTGCAAGTCGAAGCAATATTTTGTGGCTGGAGCTTTTCATATCTTGAAAATTTCGCAAGTTCATAAGTCGAGGTGCCACTGTATTTTTACCGTAAAATATTCATTACCATGATTTCAATAGGATTTCCAGTAAGTTTCTTTTGGATAGGTTCTGGAGGCTGCAGGGGACACTTACTAGAGAGCAAGTTCCACTACTGTATTAAAGTGAGTAACTTCTGCATAAATATTTGTAGTACTGGTTTTCATGACTTTCAATAGTTGATTTGGGTAGATATCAATTTATTGGTTTATTTGTGAGGAGTTTGTGATAAATTGTCTTTTCCCTACTAAAATTATTTCCTTGTAGCTTGATTCTTCTTATACATGGTCAAACAGTGTTTGAAAACAAGTTGTTTGCCTTGAAATGATTTTAAAAATAAATTGTGCAATGTGTAAATGGTTGCTGATGCTTTTTGCTTGTTCTTTTCAAATTAGTCCATTACTCTTTGGATTGATAGAAATGTTGACAGCTTAAGATGAAATTGCCTTCATTACTGTTACTCTCTCTGAGTGACTTGTTCTCTGTTTAAAATGTACTTCTATATATTGCATCTGTCTTGCTATCTGACAGGAATGTACAGTGCTGTCTACTCATTTGGAAGATAACATTATCACAACAACCTGAGTTGCTTACATTCTATCCATAAAACTTTTCATCCTGCAATCCTTTTCTGAG